AGTACAGTAGCTTCTTGAACCTCACCTAGCTCACTAGTAATCAAGTACATCACCGGTCTTTGTAAGATTACCGTTTTGTTCAGTACATCACCTCTGTTGATTAAATTCAGTTTAAATTCAGTGACTCAACCAATTAACAGTGAAAGACAATTATCAGTATAATTAGACATTCAACAATCAAATTACCAAAGAGTGTAAATAATTTTGACAAAGTGGTTCGATCCCACAAAATAAAGTGTGATTTTTTAAATCCGGCTCATCAATAATTTTCCCAACATCTCCCTCCACATTTTCATCCCACATCCACCCTAAAGCTAGTCATTCAACAAACAAATCGTTTTTGTAACTGAGGAAATTTCCGACAAAAAATTCAGATGAAGTTTTTCACCAAGAACAATTGTTATTGAGATAATCGGAGAATCAGGGAGATGAAAAAATCAATGGTCCTGTCTTTCCGATTTTGATGTTTTGTCTATTTTCGATGCAATTATCTCAAACAGGAGTAACTTTGAGAGGAAAACCCATAAGGATGTGTTAAAAACGCATCAGAAATTTCCGAAGATTCCGGTCAACCACCTCGGCCAACTTCAAAAATCTCCGTGACCCTTCGGGTCAATGGACACAGGTCAGCGCGGCACCCGGTAGAGAAAAACGTACAGTACCATTTCGGAAATCAGCGCGTTCATATCAAGTAGTAGTTCAGTTGTGTAACGGTATCGTTTCAGTAATGATATAAGCGAGTCAAGCTAATAGCATTCAAAATTTAATACTTTCGTTCAGTACATCACCACAATAATTAGTTCAGTTTCAATTAATTTCAGTGAATCAACTTGATCAGAATATAAAGACTATCAACAGTGTTAATTAAACCAAAGAGTGTAAATAAGAAACTAACGATGTGGTTCTATCCCACCAATAAACGGGAATTTTTATAATTCGTCTCAAAGTACTTTTTTCCAGCATTTCCCTCCACATTTTCTCCCACATCCACCCTAACTCCAGTTCCTCACCAAACAGATCATTTTTGTAGCTGAGAAAATTTCCGACAAAAAATTGAGAATAAGTTTTTCACTAAGAACAATTGTGATTGAGAGAATCGGAGAATCAGGGAAGTGGAACAAATCAATGGTCCTGTTTTTCCGATTTCAATGTTTTGTTTATTTTCTGTGCAATTATCTCAAAGAGGAGTAATTTTGAGAGGAAAGCACAGAGGAGAACAGTCGTTATTGAGATAATTGAGAAATAGGGGGGAGGGGAGGAAGACGTACTACAACGGGAGCCAAAAGTAAAAATGACAAATGACGTTCATTGAAAATTTTTGTTATTTTCATTTGTTTCTCGTTTTGACGGCACGTCGCGTTAGTTACTCTCGAGTCGTTGTGCAGTCGGTTTATCTCGCGATGGAGTATTCCAACGTAGAATACACCGATATTCATTTTTATTCCGGTCTATGTGGTGGAAATGGGCGTCTTGCAGCGGAGAGTTACGCTCGCGATTTTCCCAATCGTCGTCACCCGGATCATCGTACGTTTATTGCTATCCATAATCGTGCGAGAAAAACGGGTCATTTGGTACCAGCACCAAGAGGAGGACGGCCGAGGGAGGAGGATAACGTGCGGCGAGAGGAAGAGATACTCAAAGGTGTCAAGGATGATCCTTGCGCAAGTGTCCGACGTGTTGCCAGGCAGATGCAGTGGAACAAGTCCTCCGTGCATCGGGTCCTCCAGGAGAACAACATGCATCCGTTTCATTTTACGCCAGTGAATGAGTTATTACCTGGGGACCATCAGGCTCGGATACGGTTTTGTCGATTCATCATCGATCAGGATCAAGCCAACCCTGATTCCTCCATCATCTCCTCTGGACGAATGAATCAACATTCACCAGAGAAGGTGTTTTCAACTACCACAATGAGCATCATTGGGCAGTTGAAAATCCCAGAGTGTGCTGGACATGGGGGTTCCAGCATCGCTGGTACCGCGTGAACATTGGGGGAGGTATTTGCGGTGATGGAGTCCATCTGCGGTTTCTTCCGGACATTCTCAATGTACGTTCCTCATCTTTTTTCCTCTTGATATCCTATTCTTAGTCCTTCACCTTCCTTAGAGAGCAAACTATCTTGAGTTCCTCGAGGAGAACGTCCCGGACATAGTTGGTGATGGTCCTGCAGGCAAACTGGTCTAGTATCAGCATGAGGGTGCTCCAGCTTACAGCACTCTTGCGCAAATTTCCTCAGCTACAAAAAAGACTTTGGTGGGTTTTCCTCTCAAAGTTACTCCTCTTTGAGATAATTGCATCGAAAATTAACAATATTAAAATCCGAAAATCAGGACAATTGATTTGTTCCACCTCCCTGATTCTCCAATTATCTCAATAATAATTGTTTTTCGGAGAAATCATAATTTAATTTTCATTTGGAAAATTCTTCAGCTGCAAAAGACATCTTATGCATTTTCCTCCTAATGTTACTCATCTCCGAGATAAACACGGTTTTAGTACCTCGGAGCTTATTGCGGGAGTGACAGAAAAAAATTAAAAACAAGCAGGGGTTCAAGCCTATTCGACAGAAGGCATGCGACCGTTACTTTTTGTCTTATTAGTCTTTTTCTTTCTTTTATTTCTACCAATTCCATTGGTCGTAAGCTTCCGAATGGATCCGTACCACTTCCCTGTTCCTAAGACAGACGAACAAACGCAACCACATTAATTCTATTTCTATGTGGAAATGATTAACTATCACTTGATATTGAAGGAATTTAACCTTGAAAATTAGAGATTAGATTACTGAATTCGAGTGTCTTCAAACAATCCATTTTCTTCATAAAAGACGAGAAGAAAATTGAATGAGGAACCATCAAAGTTTTCTACCACGCATAAAATCATTTCAATAAAACAAAATTTTATATTTAACCTTTTCATAAAACGGATTTATACAAAGAAATTCATGTCTTCCAAACCACTGGGCCGATTGCACTCATTGAAAATATGGACCTTCAATATTATGAGAGCTATGATTGTACCAAATTTCAGCTTGCTATCTTCGTTTCTGTTCACGGCATCGTGCGTAGAAGAATAAAAAGAGAAAAAAAACAGAAAAACGGGGATATCTCGGTAACTCTCTATGGACGGGTATATATTGTAGTGCAAGTTGTGCACCACTAGAAGCGATATATCAATACTCGGAACTTTTTTTCTGCGGAACTCTTCCTAACTAGACATAAGTCCGCTTGTAAATGGAGTGGAATGCAGTGGAATTTCCCAACCAACGAGTATCAGAAGATACTCTGAGAATTCCTAGAAGAAATTAATTACCTCAGAAACCGAATAATGTCACTAAAAATGACGGTGAGATTTATAACCTTGATACGCGAGTTGGAAATGACGACGCTTAGTGGTCAGTCCTCAAGTCATTGCGACGTCCTTGGATGTCAGCTCAGCGAGTCCCTGACAACTTCTCGACACAATCCTCAAGCGACCACCGCTATGTCCCACCATCCAGCTCAACGCACCGAGTCAACTCATAGCAAAATTGAGAAACCCCAAAAATGAGATACAACAAAATATGGCCCAAAAACAAACAAAAAATTTTTTTTAATCGATACGCGATTTTAGAGTCAACAGGGCCTAATAGTACGTCCTCAGAACAACTATGATGTCTGCATCCATCAACTCGGCGAGTCTTAGCTCAGACAGAATCCTAACATAGTCCCCGAGCGACTATCGCTGCTGTTTCTCCTCCTCCCTCGGCATACGAATGGCCCAATTATTAGTCGTCCGCGATAACGCAATAAATACCACCGATATTCACGTGAAAACTGAATGAGAAACTCGGCAACAGTTGATTCACGCGCCGAGTGAGTGAAATTATGATCGTCTTCAACATTCGAGTATTTGTAATAACGAGCGTAATAATTAATAGAGCGAGTAGACACTCGCTCTGTTAATTACTAATACGGGAGACCTAAATCAGAACTCACCTCTAGACCAGATGCTAAGACGAAGTCCTTTCGGGGCGAGAGCGTGCACACTTATGCGTCCCCCTCAGTAATAAGAACTGGGCCGTAAAGATCATTTCAACCGTTACTCTACGTATCTAATTTTCATAATTACTCTAATCCTGAAGATTTCTACGCGATATTCTCTACTCTCAATCTCGCGTGCGCTCTCTGCCATTTCAAAGTCCGGAGAATATCCCAGTGGAATTGAAGAAATTTATTCATTGGAAACCAATGTAAAAAGATTGATTCTAACCAAAAAATGACAGGCCGCTGTATCTTTGATACAGTCGGGAGATTTTACATGGATACGTTTTTTTCTGGAATTAGTGGAGTATTAAAATAGGAAACAATATTTGATTTTTAATACAAATTTATTAATAATAGCTGGATGAATGAGTAATTACTGTTTCAATATAAATTTATTCAGGATAGGTCGATGATAAGAGAAGTAGGAAACGTAGTGGAATATGTTAACATCAATGTTACGCGTAAATGTGAGACCGAGGTATGTGTTTCCTAATGAGGTTGGGCGATTTTGATTACACTGTAAATTAAATTCTTCTTTCATAAAATTTAGAAAAACTTTATTTCGAAGTATGTAGCAATTGAAATCCCCGCATAAAATAATTGGCGATGTTTTGTCAGATTCCAGTGTTTTGAATGTATTAGAATATCGAAGAAGTGATTGTAATAAAAAGTATTGTAGTTCTTCAGTGGAAACTCCTGGATGAATATATACTGCTGCTAGTACGCATTGTATACTATCATTGAATACTACTTGGATGGACGTAAAATCTCCAATTGGATTTTCTTGGAGGCTTACAATGTGACTGAAACGAGTTATCGATGTACATGTTGTCAAACTACCTACACTCTTATAAATAGCTACTCCACCGGCTAATTGTCCTTTAGAACCTGTACGAATATTTTTTCGTGCTTCGCAAGTAAGCCCAGTGATTTCTACTGGTGGTCCTGTATCGCTCATCCAAGTTTCTGTACATACTAAATACTCAGCACGTCTGAGAATGAGATCAGTGGCAATGTCCTTGTAGTGGGCAGTGATATTTGCACATTTGTATTTACTACGACGACATATTTATATGGATCGGTGGTATTGTTACTCTCGAATTGACTGGTGTCAGATGCATTGTAAAATTGCTCAGCGGAACACAGTAAGGTTTGTAGACGGTGTTGTTCCAAGCGTTTGAATTCTTCTTTTATTTCCTTCGTAACTGAAGACGTCGTTCCAAGACCGTGGTAAAATTTGAAATCATTGTGTTTGTTGGTTAGGTATAAACCTTCAAGTGAAGTAACCCGGCTCAGAGCTACATATACGAGTTGAGTGTGCTGAGCTCGATCGTATTGAACCACAATCTCATTGAATGTTCCACCTTGCGATTTGTGGATAGTGATGGCGCAAGCTGGAATGAGTGGAAACTGGATTCGTTTACACTTGATGGTATTACTGAGAGATATTGTGCCTGTACACATTCGTATTGGTGTCCAGTCAACCTGCAGAGTATCGAGCTGAGCTAAGACATGTGGACGACTCTTAATTCGCGCTTTGTGTCCGATATTTTGGTGTTCAAAGTTAAGCCATACTTGAAGGTCACTAGACAACTGACTAGGATTAGATGAGCTGCTGGGTCCGGCTGCAGGCTGTTGTGGATCACAATCAAGTATTTCGATATGCATGACTTCACCAATAGCACCATTTACGAGGCCGTCTTCTACATCAATATTGGTTGTTATCATGTATGGGTGTCCAGTAGCGAGATTCAGCATATAGGGCAGACCACTTGTTTTAACCACACTCATCTTGTGCAATTTTGTTCGAGCATTGGTTAGTTCTGCAGAATTCCTGTAACCCACAATCAAGTCGTGAGTGACACATTCCATTGCAGATGGTACTGCTTCTTTATTGTATTGATCTACGTCGACATTCTGGTGATACAATCGTATTGCTTTTGGCATATTCTCCTTGCACCACTCGACTGTACGGAATCGACTCTCTATTGTCTCCATTTGCGATTATGATAATTTGTCACCATTTCCAATCTTTGTTAGTATAGTAGAGAATGTGACGTCACTTCAGCGCATAACTTGTACGAGGCGGAAGTAATCTAGAGATTGCCACAGTACTGCACCACCAATTGTTTTCCGACTTGGTTTATAAATTGGTGTGGAATTAACTGGTGGTAGTTGTCGACGGTCACCGCAGAAAATAATATTCATACCTCCAAATGGCTTCATACATGGCTGTTATCTCTTGAAGTCTGGCGTGTAGCTTTTGGAGTACATCAGCACCAATCATACTCACTTCATCGATGATGATGCACTTCACCCCAGCAAAGAGATTGGGATAGCTGTGTAATAATTCATTGGGAATTTGACCAGTCTTTTTCTCGCGAGAAATATGAAAGGCTGAGTGAACGGTAGTTCCATACAAATTTACTGCGGCCTTACCTGTCGAGGCACAAGCGACATATGCATTCCTCAATGAGTTATGCTCTTGTGTATAGCGGTTATAGATTTCCATTAGCGCTTTCAGGAGATACGTCTTACCAGCAGCAGCTGGACCAGTCAAGAATATTTGGATTGGACTGGCATCGGTATTGTGCAATCAATGGATGACTTCGAGTACAAGTTCACGTTGCTCCAGATTGGTTGATCTTATCATTTTACAATATTCTTCTTTCACTAAAATAGTGGTACGACATCGAACGATGGAAAGAGTCTTGCTAGCAGTGATCAGGTCAAAATCGTCTGTATTTTCATGCAGTTTATCACCGAGTGGGTTCATGACAAACTACTTACGTGGATCAACCAGGTCCAGCGGTTTGTCTATTGTTAAGCACAATTCTTTGAGTATGTTCATTATTTGAGTTATATTAATGTTAGCTTCAAATTTTTTGCGTCGCTCTAGAATGAGTTCTTCATTCATGTCATATAATTGTTAAAATTTATTGCGGCCCAGTATGTCAACGAGTTCAGTTCTGAATGGAATATACAATAAAACCATTTCTCTTTTCTAATTTTCCACATCTGTAATGTCATAGTAACGATATCGAATCACTCGTGATGTGTTTCGCAGTTTATAGGTGTCGGTTTTTTCGTACGTTCTTTCATCAGTGGCATTTGCGTCAATTTCTCCATCCTCGACGTCGTTAACTTCATCTTTTTCGGGAGGATTATTTTCAATTCGACGTTTCTTTGTTTTTGGACTACCTGTTTCGTTGTTTTTATTATTGATATCAGCATTGATTGTAGAAGACTTGCACACTCTGTAAATCGCCACGAAATCAGCTAGATAGAGATCATTATACTCGGATGGTGCTTCTTCATAACATCGAATGATGTTTTTTGTCCAAATATCAGTGCTCTCCGGGGCGATCTTCTCTCTGTCCATCGTTGATTTCTGTTTACAAGATTTCTGTCTCTCGTGTAGCCAGAAAGTCGGAATGTAAATTACTTGTCGGCTGCAATGGCTCATTGGTTGACGAAGTAAATACCACGCTGCTTCTTGTGCTGATATTTCCACTCTGTTCAAGAGCTTGAGACCCAATCGTTTGAGCAAAGTTCCATAATCAGCATCCGAGGATTCGTCATACATCTACAATAAGTGACGATGAAGGTTGCTAATCCCTCGATTCGATTTATTAACATACTCTACTACATAAGCTGCACAGCTGTAGTCATCCAAGATGAATTGCAAATCCATGTTGGAATTGAGTACGTTACTAATCCATGGATGGAATGTGTTGGTGTAAATTTCGGTGGGAGTTCTTCTGAAAACTAATGTTGGGCGTTGTAAGGTCGATCGAATCACATTGAGGTAGGAGTCTCGTTGAAGTTCATTGTCAATCAGGAATGTTTCGAAATTATCGTACTGTTTTGTTTCTAAGATGTTCTTCAAGTTGGCTGCCTTTTACCGTAAGGCTCCTCGTCGTCCATCCTCTTTTGGCATAGGGAGTAGAACATGAGTCTCTTCCATTGGCCAGTACGGAATGTTGAAACGGCATGTAGCCTCCCCACGTTTGGTGCAAGTGAATGTATGTTCGTGAACTTGATTTGCATACATTGGCTCAGGTAGATCATGACGATTGACTGAGCATAGTTGGTTAACGAGTTCAATAGTTTTCGGCATTATTTCGTCTATCGACTCTTCAGGATCATTGTTGAGCCATAACAGAATGTGCGCATGTGGGCTTCCCCGTTGTTGGAATTCAATTCGTTGGAAGTAGTCAACAACATGGTATTGACCGAAGGGATTCCATTGATTGCGTGATTGTTGCATCAACATGAAGATGTCGACTAGTTTCTTGAAGTAAATGCAGCATGTAACTGGATCTTCATTTACCAAGTTACATCTTTGTGAGCGAGATAAATCAGCGAGAGGATCTTCAACAGGTACATCATTAAATTGATCACTCAACTGGTGGAGTATACGATGGAAGTGGGGCCATCGAATTTCATTCGCTGATAATGTCATAAACATCTCTGGCTTCCTCAACTGATGGATCATACCAAATAAGTCCTTCTTCCGATCAGCCCAATATTGTACTGAATTTGGTATTGATTTGAAAAATGCCAAATCGTTATGAACGCAATCTTCGACAAACTGCCGATTTTCTAACATTTGTCGTGTGATTTTTTTGGTTTTTTGTACACATTTGAAAGTACTATATAAACCATCAATGACTCGGTGACGAAGAATCTTCATTCCCATATAAAGAATATGAGACGGTGTTGTACCACGTCTATCACGTCGTCGGATTTCACTTGTCGCGATCATGTATGGGGTCACTGCGGAATTTGTGCTGAACGAACGTGGCACTCCATAATAGATACCTGAAAATGATAATTCTTCAGCGTGTCTATCGTGTAATAGGTTCATCGGTGTACTACGCGCTCCTGAAGCGATGTCCAAACACATTTCTTCATTCCAGAGAAGAGTGTGCTGGCGCGCCAACAGCACCTCTGATTCTGGCATTTGTGGGCTGTCCGCTGCTTGTAATGGCTCCACTCGTGGTACGTTGTCCTCATTCTCATTTGGTGGTTGTAGTTCGTCATTATTACAGGTGCCATCCATGATAGTCAAATCTACGGTGATTTTATAGTAACGATATAATGGAGTATTGATTAAGTAACTCAGCCATACTTTAATTACTAATTTCTGAACGTATCCTTCCAAATAAACGGATTTATGAATTACGTTATGTTTAATGTTTACGTTAAAACATTGGTCATCATCCAATCGACGTGGGAGCATTTTGATCATGGTGTCAACATCAACTGGTACATTAATTACCTGACCAATGATAGAATATTGGCCCTCGCGTCGAAGCCATCGAATATGCATGAAATGTAGTCTTGGTGACACTAACCTTTCGGTGATGGGATAAAGTGGTGGTAGCCCAATTGGTTTAGGTGGATATTGGAAGCCGTTAACTTTTGCTAAAGACGGTAGTTTCCTGTTATTCAAACTTAAACGACAAGTATTACATACTTGGAACGTAGTCACTGTGCCATTTTGCATTTCTTCTGGGAAGAATTTTGCAAGTACATCAACATGTTGTGATGTTACCATCTTCAAATCTCGTGTAAACAATAAACGATCACACACATTGCAAACCGCGCCGAAGTCGTTTTGTTTGAATACTTTATCGAAGTAAGTATTGCAATGTATCCATGGATCACGAGTTGTTACTGAAGTGGAATCACTGATCAGAACAGTTGATGGGGATGACTCCAGGTGGAAGTCTGCGAAATTATTTGGCTCTCCGACAATACTTATACTTGCACTGGAAAGATTCTTCGTACAAGAATCTACTTGTGACACTAGAACTGGGGGTATGTTAGATTGGAAGTTTTCAAAATGAGGTACAGTTCCTTTTCTAACGCGCTTTCTTTCTAACGGCTCCTGAAATTGAAAGGTTTTCATGAGAATTCTTTGTAGTCTTTGAAATTACAGATGTTCGATATGAATAAATTGATAAATTTACCTTTTGGCAATTTTTCCGGTTTTGTTCTTCATTACATGGGACGAGATGATATCTTTGTCCTTGAAGTGGTCTTCACAAATACGGAGAGATTTCTTAATCACAAGGTTAGGATATGTTATACGAATTATTGCAAGCCACTCCTCACGTTGTTTTTCATCATGTGGCAAATGGAACACTGATTTGTTTGTTCGGTTAGAACAATTCGGAATCTGACAGCAGTTTAATTTGATGACTCTGTTGACGGAGGTGTTGGAATGTATCCGTGGGTCTTTAGTAATCGCTGGAGTTGAATCACTGATTGGAGCAGCTGATGTGGTTGGCTCCATATGGGTGTCTGTCACATCATTTGATTCTCTGGCAGTACTCACACTTGGTTTCGAAAGGTCTTGCTTATAAGAATCTACTCGTGATCTTTCATTCATTGTTATTAATGAATCATCAACTGGAACTGGAGTTATGTTGGATTGAAAATTCCTGAAATTAGGCACAGCTCCACTTCTGACATATTTTTTCTTCAACTTCTAAAATTGAAAGAGACCAATTAATTCTTCATTTTTATTTTTATTCATTCATTTATTTCTATACTATTCTATTGACTACTGTATGAATGGATTAAAAAATTTACCTCCTGGATTATTGTTCCAATCTCATCCCTTATAATATGGGAGGAAATGATATCTGTGTTGTTGAAGTAGTCTTCACAAATATGATTAGTTTTTCGAATTACTAGGTTAGGGTATGATGCACGAATTATTTTGAGCCATTCTTCACGTAATTTCTCATCACGTGGTAAACCAAACGTTGATTTGTTTATTTGTTTAGAGCAATTTGGGATGCCACAAGGGTTTGGCATTTTATGCGTCTTTACTTTGCAGAAACGTTGTTTCTCCTGTTAATGTTTCCTCAAAATTCAAGGGAGTTCTCAAGTGGCGTTTAACTTGAGAAATTCCTCAATAGGAATCTTCTATATCTACAGTCACTTTTCCACTATGTCAGGGGAGTCAGGGGGTGGGAATGCAT